TTATTTACAAAATTGTTTTCCACAAATGAAACATAAAAAGAAAAAAAACTGGGTTAAAGTTAATTCAAGGAATAAATATGCTGTCCTCAGAAAACATACAGTACACTACAGGCACTGCATTAAATAAATGTAACCATTAACCAATGTACCACACATTAAAAATATTCTCAAAAAAAAATCAAACACTAATATTTTTCCCTTTTTACAAACATTATGTGCTGCATTAATTAAAATGGCAACCATGTGAGATGTTTTTTAAGTTTTTTGTTCCATTTAATTATGGTTTTCTACTACTGACAGGACAGCGAAGAATGCACAGGAAATGATGCTCTACCTGACAAACCACAGCTCTGACCATAAACCAACATTTTGAGGCTGTATAAATATCTAAGCTAATCCTTTAGGGTTTTTTTTCTTTGTATGTTCTGCCGAGCAGTGGCGGAATGTTCCAGACCTTTTTCTTTGCCAGAGAAGCATCTCGATGTCTGCCTATTTCTGCTGCACATAAATGTTTTGAGGATATAGTTCACAAATCTCCACAGGAGGGAGACACTACCCATGTAATGTAATGTCAAGTATGCCAAACCCGTTTCAAGTCGCTGCAGTGCATAGGCAGACGATGGTGTTTACGAGAAGGCTGGGTATTAGAAATCTGAGAATCAGAGCAAGACTAGATAATAAACAACATTACATTTGGGTCCCTGTGCATTCATTCCTACTGTTTATAAAAATAGCAATCATATGGGCACAGAGGGCTTATTGGACAACTACTGTGACCCAACGACCTCTGACTTTACTGCATCTACGAGGAAGCTGAGTTCATTACACAGTGTCTCGTGTCTGTAGGCCATGCGGATCTGGGCTACATTTGTTCGGCGAATGTCATTCCCCTCTGGTCCGTCTTTCAGGTAACTGACCCCAAGGAAATGCTTTTTCTCCTGGGGAAAATGGCAAAGATACGTCAGTGTTGTGCCGAATAAATTTTTACATAATGTTATGAACTGAGCATGTGCACTACCTCATGGGAAAGGCCACTCTGCAGGACGCTGTTCCTAGCGATCTCACACACGTCACATGTGCTCAACTTCCACAGTTGGGCTGCAATAGTGTACTCCTCCATTAAAGCCTCCTGCAGTAGTAAAACAATTACAATATACCTGTATACACATATTATATATTAAAAAAGCATGTGCAGTTGCAATTTTCTCAGGGGCAATTGTCTAGCCTACCTCAAATTAAAATGCATTAAGTAAATTTAATTTAACCAAAAATTGATGATTTTATAAATGTTTTATGATTTTTTATAAGAGTCAGTGCATTAATTTTGGGGCATTTTTCAGTGAGACTTTTGCAAGGTACATCACTACGCCACTAGGTGGCGACAAGTGTGAGTGTAATTGAATCATTCACTCAAGCGATTCGCTCAAAAACTGATTCGGCCAGGAACAAAACACCGCTTCAAGTCACTTCAATTCAGTGCTTGGATATTATGTTTTATATTGTATTAATATTTGTGACACTGGACCACAAAACCAGTCATAAGTAGCAAGGGTATATTTGTAGCAATAGCCAAAAAATACATTGTATGGGTCAAAATTATTGATTTTTCTTTTATGCCAAAAATCATTACTATATTAAGTAAAGATCATTAAGTAAAGATTCATGTTCCATGAAGATATTTTGTAAATTTCCTACCGTAAATATATCAAAACTTTTGATTAGTAATATGCATTGCTTCATTTGGACAGCTTTAAAGGCGATATTCTCAATATTTTGATTTTTTTGCACCCTCAGATTCCAGATTTTCAAATAGTTGTATCTCGGCCAAATATTGTCCTATCCTAACAAACCATACATCAGTGGAAAGCTTATTTATTCAGCTTTCAGATGATTTATAAATCTCAATGACAAAAAATGGACCCTTGTGACTGGTTTTGTGGTCCAGGGTCACATATGAATATTTTAGAGGTTTTATTTATTATCTGGGACCCTAAAGCACAAATCAAGTCTTAGGGCGCTGGGGTATATTTGTAGCAACAATACATTGTATGGGTCAAAATTATTGATTTTTCTTTTATGCCAAAAATCATTACTATATTAAGTAAAGATCATTAAGTAAAGATTCATGTTCCATGAAGATATTTTGTAAATTTCCTACCGTAAATATATCAAAACTTTTGATTAGTAATATGCATTGCTTCATTTGGACAGCTTTAAAGGCGATATTCTCAATATTTTGATTTTTTTGCACCCTCACATTCCATATTTTCAAATAGTTGTATCTCGGCCAAATATTGTCCTATCCTAACAAACCATACATCAGTGGAAAGCTTATTTATTCAGCTTTCAGATGATTTATAAATCTCAATGACAAAAAATGGACCCTTGTGACTGGTTTTGTGGTCCAGGGTCACATTTAATTTATTAATAGGGAAATAATAATAATATTTATGTATTATTTATTTAAATATCCTATTTAATAGGAAAATTGACACACTATTGGTTTAAGTTGTTTTCTGCTGGTTTTCTCTAAATTGGCAGAAATAAGTTAATGCATCCTCTTATTTATAAAAGATAAACATTTGATCTGGCTTGTTTGTGAAGCTGGTCTGCCTCTGCCGACTATAGCAACGCTCAATGTGATCGAGATGGCCAATCAATTCCAAGTAGGCGGGGTTTACTGTTCAAAGAAAAAGAGCGCGAATTCCAGGCAGCGTGAAACCAAGCGTCAGTTGAAGAGACTGAGCGAGGTAAGATGAAAGTAGTATTTGAGAACTGTTTTACGATAGAAATGTTAAACGACGACAGTATATCCAGGGATGCAAACTTCTCGAATTTTTTTCTCAAAGTGCGTCATTTAGAATTAAAAATATGGTATAATTTAGGTGATGTAATTCTTAACTGAATGTGACAAGACATGAAACGTTTTGCGTTTTCGACAAGGCCTATTGGGCATACAAGTGAATGTGCGAATATTTAAAAATATTATTTGCAAATAGTTCCAAATTATTACTTCCCAAATAAGATTAGAGGTAGAATTAGTCTATTTCTTTTAACTTTATATGCATAACTGTTGCTGCCATAATAATGACACATTTCACATGTTTACGTGCTTTTCTTGTCTTTCCTTATTTTGTTCTTAACAGTTGTAGAGGAGTGGTGATGAAATATTGTTCTTGTAAATACTTTCCAGCATTTTAGTATTGAAAAGTTTTCATCTTTAAAATGCATGCAAATACAGCGAAGCCTAACAGTTACTTTACAGTGGTTGGCATTGGTCAAAAGGGATTTATAAAATGACTTTTGGATTTATCCCCTCGTGTATAAACTCAGAAATGTGGATTCTACCTTGGTGTTTGTCAAAAAAAAAAAAAGGTTATTCAGCTGATAATTTTTAGGCAGGTTATCTGGATTCGGACCGCAATAGCCCCAGCAAATGTTGAAAATACCTTGCGTCCCCATGAGAAACAATTACCGTCTGAATAGGGCTTCAGAATTACTTCTATATTGTTACTGTAGTAATATTTCAAGATGAACACTTACTGCTCTTACTGCTCCATATTCTCACTATATCATACTATAGGAATCATATAGGCCTGATGTAAAAAAAAATAAAAAAATCTGACTATTATACAAGTCAGGCTTTACGGGTTAAAATCCATTATTGAGTTTATTTATTGAAAGGTTAGAGCATTTTAGGGGGTACTTTAGGTACATTTAGGAAACTGGGGTCCAGCTGTAAGATGGTTGTATGAGTCTGACCTTGGTGTAGTGGAACTGCATGGGATCATCAGTGGAGAGCGACACACACAAGCCTTTGTGTAGGAACTCTCGCAGTGGGTTTTTGGAGTATTCCAGGAACAGACTGCTGTTGCTCAGTGGGGACATGGCAATGGGCACTTGCACAAGATAATACAGGTACTGCAGCACTGGACTCTGGAAAAACACACACAAATGTATTACGTATGATAGCTTGTTCAGTTTGATCATAAGACCAAATGCTCTGATCAGACTCATAGGCCTGGCTGCTTCCATTTGCATGTTTCTGTACAGCATCAGAGGCTCCATTGACTCTGGACTCATCACTAACAAGTACATAATCAAATGAAGTAGTAAAAAACACGTCTCATCTGCAACTTCATGAATAGAATAGACTTGGGCTGAAGATCTGAACTCTGAATCCATTTTCTTTGCCACCAGCATCAATTAAAGTACAAGATATTTGGTATCTTGTTTTCAGAATTATATTGCATTATACTTTGAACTAAAATTCAAAAGTGCACTGCCCATTTTTCCTCACTTTTAAGTGCCACTGAGCGCTATAGTTTGGACTAATCTTGTGCTTCTCACCTTTTTCAGGTTTAAGCCATGAGAAATGTTGTCTGCAGTGAGAAAAGCTGAAACCAGGTGGGTGATAGAACCAGCTTCTCCACAGTGTGGACGGAACTGAAAGGTACCAAGACCACGTTCCCTGTGACAACACACATATACAAGCTGAAACAACCAGAAGACAGAAAATGATTGAACTTGTTTTGTTGCAGATATAATGTCCAGATATTAAGAAATTATAGCAAATGAGAAAAATAAAGTTTCAGTTTCAAGAATGAATACACTATATATTGATTAAGAGACAAAATGTACTATGGCTAGCATACAACATCACAGTTGCTATTACGGGCACTCAGAGGCAAAGCTGGGTAGATTACTTTCAAACTGCAGTCCATTACTGATTACAGATTATATGATAAAAATCGTAGTTAGTAATGTAATCTGGATTACTCATTTTAGGTAATGTATTTTGACTACTTTTTAGATTACTTTTTTTATCTAGCTTGTTTTACCGTTAAACATACCATATTCATATTGATATACAAAAGCAAAGAGAGAGAAAATGTATTCCATTTATCAACATTCAACATCATAAAATGCATTACACATTACATTAAATCAGGGCTTCCCAATCTGGTCTTAATGTAAAAACTGTAGTGGGTTTGTGAGTTGATAAAAAGCTAATAATTAATTCAATCATAAAAATATAAAATAAATGATTTAAACCCGTGAACACTAAAAATAGAAATATTTAATTTGTTTACCTGCAGGCCAATGTGATCATTAAGTGACATCGAACTGTAAACATGCAAATGTGTTGTTGAATTATTGAAATATTAACTTCCTCAGAGATATTTCATGTAAATATTTCATGTCATAGGGGTCTGGCTGACAAAAACGTTTAGGAATCTCTTTGTGGGGATCCTTTGCATGGATTGCAAAATTATTGACATGACATTTACTTGGCCATTTTATATTGTGAATATAGTCAAAGCTAAATGGTGTGATACACAGCAAGATTTTTAGAAAGGAAAATTTAAAAGAGAGAAAAAAAGAATTAGGGAGAATCAATAAATTAAGAATGATTTGCTGCCATTGTGTAAGTAATATGTAATCATGTAATCCATAAAAATAACTTTAATCTGATTAGGAGCATTATAAAATGTTATATACTCTAATTACGAGTACTTGATTTTTGGAATCTGATCATGTGATCCAGATTACATGTCATATACCCAGCTCTGCTCAGAGTGGACTTTTCAGTCCCACCAAGACTTCTGATTTGCAGCCTAACTGATGGAATTTGTCAGAAATTGTGGAGATTTAATTGATTGCAGTGAAAACACACCAATAATCATGATGTACTTATGTAATTAAAGCTAGTGACAGTAAGATTACAATTAATATTTTTGTGCATGATTACTCAATTTGTGGTCTTGGTCCTTTATTCAAGGCAGTGGTGACACCAGCATAGAAATACTCATAATTCTGCTTTGCTGAAAATACAGAATTGTATACTATACCTTGAACACAGTCATTGAATCAGTACAGTATGTAATCAGTGACACCGATTATATACTGTCAATATGGTCAATATTGTATGTTTAATGGTAAGTTTAAAACAAGTTAGATAAAAAAGTAATCTAAAAAGAAGTCAAAATACATGACCTAAAATGAGTAATCTAAATTATGTTACTAAGTACAAAAAAAGTCAATTTAAGGCAATTTATGACCCTTTTTAAGAGCTGCACAAGTAAAATGAACACCGTATGAGTGGGATTGGACATTGTCTATGGTAACATATTAAGCCATAAAATTAGACGATTTCAAAATCACACAAGGTCCCCAGATAATACTAATCTCGTGCGAATAGGGCTTAAATTGAAACTTTTTCAATATAACTAAATATAAAAATGTGCGCAGGGTTAAGCCGTGCTTTTGTTGGTTGCCACAGTAACAGCAATAAGCTAAAGGAATTCCTTTAAAGTACTTGTTTTGTGTACCAGATTTGTCAATGTGCGGCGCTGTATGCATGGCTTTGCAGCCCTTAAGTTAAAATACTGAGTGTTAAATAATAAAATAATATGTTAAAACGTGTGCTCTTAACATTCTGTGGACAAAATCCCGTGAACTTCGCCCCGAATGGGAGCTGTATTTGCACATGTGCGCTCATCTGTTTTCAATGCAGCTAACCTCGCTAGAGATACAGAGAGAATGTAGATAAACATCCATAACATGGTACAAATTACAGACTGAGAAAATGTGTTTTTAAGAGGATGCTTGACGGATGTTTTGGGGAAGAGCATTCCACAATCTGGGAGCCACAACACTGAAAGCCCTAGCTCCCATAGTCACCAGACGAAACTTAGGGGTGACTAACAATCCCTCACTAGATGATCGTAAGGAGCGGGTAGGAACATAAGGCAGAAGTACTGTAAGTCAGATAAATATGTAGGACCAAGGTGGTTATAAGTGAGAATTAGTATCTTGTAGTTTATGTGCAACTTTTTCAATATAACTAAATATAAAAATGTGCGCAGGGTTAAGCCGTGCTTTTGTTGGTTGCCACAGTAACAGCAATAAGCTAAAGGAATTCCTTTAAAGTACTTGTTTTGTGTACCAGATTTGTCAATGTGCGGCGCTGTATGCATGGCTTTGCAGCCCTTAAGTTAAAATACTGAGTGTTAAATAATAAAATAATATGTTAAAACGTGTGCTCTTAACATTCTGTGGACAAAATCCCGTGAACTTCGCCCCGAATGGGAGCTGTATTTGCACATGTGCGCTCATCTGTTTTCAATGCAGCTAACCTCGCATCGCTTCATGATCTTCCACTCATCAAACTATGACAGGATGCAATTTGTTAATGCAGGCGGAGGAAACACTGAGGTGGAAGGTGCGCTAAAATAAATTTGAATGTCATCTGCGTAACAGTGGAAGTTAAACCCATAGCGTTTGATTATTTGTCCAATTGGTAGCATATAAATGGTGAAGCACATATGAAGCACATATGGCGCCATGTGCTTTTATAAACCATTTTCATAGGTTTCACGTTATATTATTGTTGGCTCTGAAAATATGTACACTGCGTCACTTGTTGGGTATAGCAACAGTATCTAAGGGTGGGTGGGTCTTTGCGAACGGTCAATTGTTTCGATTTTTAGAAGGCACATTAACTTCTTTCACATTTACAACTGTGTTTGCTGTGTTAAAACATGGGTCGATATTCATTGATCTGAATATAAACAGCAAAAAGGCTGATTGGAAATGCAAGTTCATTGTCTGCCACAAGGTGGCTTTGAAACGTGCAGTGCTCATATGTATTCAATTACATCATTGCCTTTTGAAGTTTAATCCAGCCGTTGGGCAGGGCGGTGATACATTTTGGTAGCCCGACTAGAAAACACAATAACCCTGGGACGTTGGGCTAGCAATTTTGTGAGCCCTGTTTGATTATTGTTATCAGTCTCTCTCTATTTTTTTTCCATTTTTTGAAAGTCTTGAAGACACTATTGTGGAGTTTTTCTTTTGCTATTTGAGCAAATAGGAATACAAAAATATATTTGATGTAATCCCCCATTCACTGCTATAGAAGTATTACCCAACTATGATGACTTCCGCTGCTGAGAAACCCGGAAAGGTGAAAAAGTTCCATTCACTGCAATACAGTGGCAGGATGGTTTTAGTGGCATATTAATTGATTTAAATGGTCTCAGAATTATATATATTTTTTATGAACTAATATTGTTTTCCCCACCAAAGGTTGTTTTTTTTTCGAAATTAAATCCAGATGAGCAAACAACAAATGAAGCATAAACAGCAGCATGAATTTATGAATGCATCACAACAGACATAATATGAAGTGAAACAACCCATTCAAATGAATGAACTGGATGACACATGTCAACAGACTGATTTGAACCATGTGGGAATCATTGGAACAAAGCACATTTAAAGATTGATACTTAACTCTTTAAATAATAATAAACAACTGAAATTCTATTTTTTATTTAGTTTCTCATTTGCTTTGTTCAAACCTGACCTCATAACGTCAAGCAGTTGTTTGTTTATAGTTCGTTTGAGTTTTCCCTCTTTTCCTCACTTTCCTTCGCTTTTAAATAGCTTAAAAGCGCCGTGCGCATTTTACTTTCACTTTCAAATTAGCGGCAATTCAGTGTCAATTGCTTGAATTCAGTTCAAGCAACAACAAAATACAACGTAGAACATAGAACTTTTATTAACAAAACGAGTAAAAATACACCATGCTATATGCCTAATATAGAATAACAAATAACTTAGACAAAGTTTAGGTAGCCTATACAAAACTGAAGATCAGTACACTGGAACCAAATAAATAAGAAATGTTCGTTTACTAGCAAAACGAATAAGAAAGATTCGAGACACGGCATACTTGATGTAAAAAAATAATAATACTTTAAATAAATTTAAATCAGCAAACACGATGGAACCAAATAAATAAGCAACTAATGTTTTTTAAAAACTTACAAAATCACCTTAGATAAATGGCAGAAGTCAACAGGCTTTTCAAAATCCAAAATATTTTTAAAACATGTGCTTTTGCATGTCGTTTTGAAACTCTTCTGCCATCGTCTTGTCTGTCTCACCTCTCTCTTCTTGTCAGCTTCTCCTCACGAGATAAATGAGATCTGATCTGTGATGCGACTGTCATTCGGCATGCTGCATTGAGCAGCCGCGTTCAGTTTTAATTATAGTGAACTAAATTATTTTTATTACTATAAAAAATCAAAATGACGGTGGGGGCTCTGCCACGGTGGGCAATGACATAACCGGTGTTGCGGGAACTTGCGGCTTCACATCGGTAAAACCGTCAACACCGTCTATCGCAGCAACACGAATTTCGTGTCCTGTCAGTCACTGCGTGAAATAGGTATGAAATTGAGCGTGCACCAGTACAAAGGGCGGTGCTGAGCAGAGCGGACGGGGCGATTCTCTCCTGAGAACAGTCCAATTGGCGGTAAATACATATTTAAACTTTAAATAAGTATGAAATATATCAGTGTTTTTTCGCTTATTTATTTTCGTTTGGACATGTTTATATGTTGGTGTTTTGATATAGGCTATTTTTTTAAATATATACTGTAAAAGGTTATTATATGGTACGATAGTTATTTTAGGTTGTTTAATTTGGAAAAAAGCTAAGATTCTGCGGCACCCCTAGCCAGTTGTTACGGCACCCACTTTGGGAACCACTGGTCTATGTGTTACATCTACAATGGGGCATAATGGGTATCTCAACACGAGACCTCTGGCCAGCAAAACTCCTAGGGTGGCATACTAAAACATAAATTGAAAAAAGATATCCTGTGATAGCCTGTGGATATCCCCTAAAATGACATCCTTTTATGTAATTTGTCATATTGATTTTGTCAGATCCATTACTTTTTTGACGTAAATCCAGTGCATTTAGATGTCATCAAATAATGCATACTATTTAGGCTATCTGAAACTTTTTCTGTAGCATTTACTGTAATTCCAGTGCAAATACATTTATACCTCTTCAATGCATTCAAAGGCCCTGGGATACTGACCCCATTGGCCCAGTCCATAATCCATCCTTTATAAAGTGGAAAGATGATGTCAGTTTGTTCTACTGACAGTATTCCATAGGCTTTAACAGTATCTCAGTTGTAACTCAATATGTGTGTATTACTGATACAGTGGTATTTATAGATGTCCTGGTGCATAGTGAAACACTCACACATGCAACTGGAAACTTTTTCTTCCTGAATGCCTTCCAGTACTTGTTCAAGGTTTATCAAAGCCTGGGGGTATCGTGGAAGATCTTTATTGCAAATATTAAAGTAATCTCTGTTTACGTCCTCCTTCAGTGCAGACATTTTTCCTATTTTTATGGGAAATGCCTCTCCCTTCAACTAATGGAATTTTCCAGTTAGTGTGTGGAACAGATATAATGGAGCACATACTTCCTGAGATTGTTGAGCACCATGATGTTGGCATACATGTGGAAGAGGTAGTAGCTGTAGGGCGGGTTGTCATCTGTTGTCCATTGCTCAGGCTTGGGGCTCTTGTAAGAGAACATGTGATCACTATGTTTGGATTCATCATCCACACTGTCAAAGCCAGTCACCTGTGAAAGAGGGGACATCCTATGAGTAAAGTCTAGAAAAAAATAGCAAACGTTTTTATCAATCTGAAGTGCACCCTGTGATTTCAAATAATGTTCTAACATTGCAATAACTTTGATCATGAATTAATCAAAACAAAAATATAAAATACACTACATGGACAAAAGAATGTGGACACCAGCTTCCACTCTTCTGGAAAGGTTTCCACTAGATGTACATGGACATGGATGCAGGAATTTGCTCCTATTCAGACACGAGCATTAGTGAGGTCAGGCATTAGTCAGAGGTCAGGCGTTGGCTGATGGGGCCTGACTTGTGGTTGTCATTTTAATTAATCCTTAAATATGTTGAGTGGGGTTCAGATTTGGGCTTTGTGCAGACTAGTCACGTTTTTCATGCTGGAGCAAAAAATGTCCTCCTCAAACTTTTTAAAATGTTGAAAGCACACAATTCTCTAGAATGTTATTGTATGCTGGACACATTAATTTGAATTCACTGGAATTACTGTAATATTCAAACCTGTCAAGTAAAAGGGAATGTCCACATATACATCTGGCCATGAGGTGTTTAAAATCAATTACATGAATCTATTATGAACCTTGAACTTACATATTTTAGAAATACATGGAGCTCTTTGTGCTTCTGGGGATTCACTGTAGCCTCAAACAGAGGAAGGAAAATGTTCTCAAGCATCTTGGCAAAATTAGGAATCAACTTGCGTGACTTGAAAATGTCACTGAAAGAAATAAGCATCACATAATTGTAAAACAAGAAATGAATACTTTCTGAAAATGTAGAATTAATGTAGCTACTTACTTTAGGGTGGCCATATGTGCCATTTATATGGGACACGTCCTGGCCAGGAGTTTTATATTGCCTAAAACATCCAAAGTAGTTTGACCAATAACATGCAAGCATTGTACATAATCGACCAATCGTGGCGCGTGAGAAGATGGGATCTACAGAGAACGATCAAAGTGATGCAAATACGCACACGTTAGGTGTGTTTGTTTGTTCGACTTGAAGCGGCGCTGCGCAGACCAATCGTATTACACCAAAGTACAGCGAGAGCGATTCGAAAGCATAAGGAGTTGTCTGCTCTGCTCTGCTCTCGCGAATGTCATACAACAATCGATCTGCACAATGCAAACAGCCAAAACCTGGATATTTTAGGCAATATAGAAATCCTGGCAAGGACGTGTCCCATAAAAATGGCCCGTATGGTCACCCTATGCTTACTATATTCTGGGCACTTGTATGATCCAGCGCATGTTTGGAGAGTACACTTTGTGCTGAATAAACCAATGGGAGAGACTTTTCCCACTCCCCCATAGATGGACAGTCGCGGTTCGGCATGCTTATACTTGCTTTCTTCCAGATCATGTGCTACTTCCTGAAAGAGACAAAGAGACACAGAAGACTCTTAAATGAGAAATATAAGTACATTTTGGAAAAAAATTCTGTTAAAAAAAAAAAAAAAATGTAAATGTAAATTAGCTGAACTTTACATTTGCCCTCAACAGGTAAACTATTGCTCATTAGTACAGTAGTTGGTATCTAGACTGTCTCTACGTTTTTGGCACAAAACTGTGCTCTTAGAGTTTCAAAATGTTCACTTTTACACTGGAAAAACATTTTATGAAATTAACACAAATAAATGCATTAATATTTGTACTAATATAATCTGAAAACAATGAAAACAAGGTGCATCTCTATAGACTTGTGTAGACAAAATGACTGTACCTTGATCAAGCGGGCGAAATACTCCCCTTTAATGTAATTGTCAGTCTTCAAGTAGATTTCCCGTAGCTCACTTGCTCCTACTGGATTGTATTTGGAGTTGAATTTGTCAAAGCGATGAAAGGTTTGTCTGCCCTGTAAATAGACTAAACTTGAAGCATACTGTACAAGCCACCAGCATATCATTGGGCTGTAACATATACAACATATACAGGTGCATCTCAATAAATTAGAATGTCGTGGAAAAGTTCATTTATTTCAGTAATTCAACTCAAATTGTGAAACTCGTGTATTAAATAAATTCAAGATTATTGGTTAATTTGCCCCACATGTGTTCCCTCGTTACCGTCCTCATTTGCTCTCTATTTATTGTCCTTGTGTTTGCAGTCCTGGGCCAGTTCGTCGTTGAATGTTCCCTGTCGTGTGCCTTGTCCTGCCATCCAGTCAAGTTGCCAGCTGTTTTTTCCCCGATGGGGTAGTTTTTGTTTGTTTTGTTTTGTTCTGCCTTTAATAAAGCCCTTACCTTCCTGCAATATTGAGTCCTCACTCCATCCTTCATCCCCAACCCTGAAAAAAAATTATATCGCGATACATATTGATATTGAATTATTGTCCAGCCCTAATTGAGATGCACCTGTACTGTAGATAAGATGTTACTTACGGCATGGACATCTAAGGAGTCTACAGTAAGATCATAAGGGTCCATATTCAGGTTGTTAAACACCTGTTTGAGAGTTAGCTTAAGCCCCGCTTTCTCAAGGACAACTCTCTCTGCATCAGTTTTATAGGTGGTTTGGATGAAATCAAGTAGATGTTTTTGGTTCATACATGCTGCTGCATGGATATGTGTGTCTACCTGTAAGTTAGCATTTGTGTACATTTAGACAGCAGGGGAAATCACATTTGCATATACCAATGGGTGTGTCAAATTATACCTTTCTGACATTGTAGAAATCTCTATGAGGAACACCCTTGAGTTCTTTTAGTTCCGCCATTTCGTTGAGCATTTCATGTAGGTAAAACTTTGACCCAAGGAAATTTAATCGTCTATGACAATAGGTCTTACTGTTTAAAGAAATAAAATACCGCTTTAGATCTCAGAATTTTTGGATATGCAGATAAGGAGAATTGTTGACATTATGGTGAAATTGGTTGGAGACTTACCAAAGTTCTTTTAAGACAAGTCATGTCACTCGGCGGCCATCTTTGAAACGCCTCTCGGGCATGCAAGTGCAACTCCTATCTCTTTGAATGGGGAAACATCAAATTCTCCAAAACTGTTCACTAAGCTTACGATTAAATTCCATATCTGAAATCACCAAAGAAATCTGACAACAACTGTGTTATAAATGTTGTTACTTTTGCTCAAATAGCGTTATAAAAGCTTATTTTTCAGGCTAGATCAGCCAGTGCACATGCGCAGTCCTAAGAGCATGTCTCAGAACGCTGACTGTTTCTATAGCAACCGGGACTTCCAACGGCAGATGCAGTGACACGCTGACTTTACCGATTAGCGATTGGCTCTTTCATTCAGAAGGTGGGGCTTCCTGCAATTGAGCAGCCATATTGAGCGTTGCATTTTTCCCCATTCAAAACTATACGAGTGACACGTCTTGGGTATTCTATAGTCTTTGGATTTACGTAGGCCCATCGGCGATCATGGCGAGCACATGACTCATGTCAATGGCAAATGTTTCCAGGTCTGGATAAGGCAGACAACGTGGTTTGTTCATACTCAGAGCTTCAGTGTTTTCATATACATAAATAATGCCATCCTTCATTTTCATCTGATAATTGAGGTTGTCTGGAATATTCTCCATGCTGTAAGGGTCCTCTCACTCACCAGGGCAAGGACAGATATCTGTGAAGAAGAAAAAAACTGTAAGCAAAACATAGCTGGTGAAGCTAGTTGACCAAGAAAGTTTTGCTGGTTAAGTTAGTAAGAAGACAGCAGTAGACCATACAGTATCTCTTGGTGGTGACCAGCATAAAAAAGTTTGGTTTTCCCATCAGAGGAGAGAGAATCGTTCCCATTCTACCACAGAATTTTTAAGTGTTCTTAGTTGAGCCACACATAACTCATGTCAGCTCTTATGTCTTCTAAAATTAGTTCAAAGTTGATGTCTTGGGAAGGGACTTTAGGCAGGGAATAAAGAGGAACATTGGGCAAACAGTTTGATCTTTTTTGAATTTGAACAATTTATCTGAAATGTTTATAGAGCCTAAAACAGGGGTTCTCAAAGTTTACATTCAAAGGTCCGAATCTGAATTCTCATCAATGTCAAAAGGTCCGAAATAATTGTTATTACAAAACTTGTTTTTACTAAACATGCTTATAACTATATATAACAATTCAACTTTATATATGCTAATTATCATATTCATGACGTAATCAAGTCGTACTTGCGTTTACTCTCTGAACTGTTAAATAAAGTACTGCATTTTTATACAACTAAATGCCCAATAAAGCAGTTCTCATGTACATTTTTTCTATTTCTGAAATAGTACTTCAATGTAACCTAAAGTTACTTCAACTTAATTGCTAAAATCTTGAATTATAACTGCAATACGCTGTTATACAGCAGTGAATTAGATTACTTTATTTAGCTATATCATGCAGCACGAACGTCCGTCTGTGTAACAAAATATGTGCATATTTACGGACGAACTACATTCATGTTCATATGCCCAGACAGTGATAGGTTTTTGGAAACACTGTTTTGTACTCATTCATTCACAAGTCTGTTGCGGTTCGGTCAGTTGAATGTACTGCTAACTCTGCCGGATTGGGAAAAACCTCACGCTCGCAGGGCGAAACCAGTGACATTATTCTACTGAATGAAAGCTAAAAGGTTTATCCAAAATGTTGCTAGTTGCTATGTTAGTTGTCTTACAAAAAGTCGGTAAAAACTGCAACACTGGTTCGTGCGTCCCTGTGTTTGTGTGCCACGGAGGTCTGAGTGATACGAGTGCACTTGAATTACGAAGTGGAGGTGGGTCCGGATCGAATTTCCTCCCGGTCCGGATCCAGACCGGAGTCCGGACTTTAAGAAGGGCTGGCCTAAAATAAACCTAGAGAAAGAACATTTTCTTCATGTCGTGTCTGATTATGAACCCTTAAGCAAATACAGATGTACCTGGAAGGATTTCATCTTCTTCTGTCCACCTTTCATTTGCTGCATTACATAGAAACTGTGCAGTTGTCCGTGGGAATCTGTGATATGCCAGTTTTGAGTATTTTTCTCGAATAAAGAGAGCTTTTAGCAGACTTTTAGCTGCTTGCTCATAGTCCTCAACTGTAATCTGTAAGTATATAGTTATTGTAAGACAAAAGACAATTGTTAAAACATGATCAGCTATTAAAAGCACCTTTGGTGGTTAAACTTTCAACAAATTATGGCATAAAGTAGAGAAAGTTGTTTGTTTGTAAATTCTAATAATACACACCCCAGCACAGTAGTCTCCACTTATGGTGACTCTTTGATACTCCGGGAAATTTTGTGAGGTGGAAGAAGAGGTAGATGAAGGAGAAATGAGGGGTGTCACCACACCCCGGACACTATCCGTACTTAAGGGGATTTGTAGTGACATGGATTGTGATCGAATCATCTTAAAACGCTTCTTCCTATAAAGGATTAAAGCAAATAGGAGCTAAAATTTAAATAATACATTTATTAAGCATGTGTGTCAAATCATTAATTGCCCTGCTGGAAAATACAATAAAATCCAGCTCCTGATGGTAGCTGGTTTGACATGTTTTCAAGATGGTCCAAAGTGGTCATTAAGGCCGCGTGTCCACCAAAGCATTTTTAGCCAACTGAAAACGCCTGGTGCTCTGCTGAAAACGCCTAGCTGTGAGCGCTTGAGAGTGATTCTGCAGCGCAGCATTTTTTTTCAGGTGAGACTTTTTGGCTACTATGATATGGAATATCTGTGTAACTAGAATCTGATTTCGCAGATAGTTTATTTATAAATATAAAAATGTTGACAAAATATGAAGTACTGTTGGTGGACCTGGTTTCAGTCATGAAGACCATATTGATCAAGCTGGTACAAAACCACTTTGGGCCAGCAGCTAACCAGCTATCATGCTCCAAAGACCAGTTTGTCCACCGTAGTCTGGTACAGCCTGGTGTTTCAAGCAGGGCAAAGCTACTAATAGTAATCTACACTAAAGACTGATGCTGACCGTTTGGCACTTTCCTCTGACTGTTGCTCAGCCAGTTCTCTGAGTAGCTCCCTCTGTTTGGCTTCCTGCAAGCCTATGGGACAGTCCTCAGGGACAGTGTACATGGACAGGGCATCTTTTGTGTCCTCTTCCTTCAGTGCCGATGCATACACCTTCTCCGCCAGCAGACGAACTTCCTCATCCACATCACTCAGAACAATCTTTGGGAACTGCCGTGGCATATCTGTATAGGGGCACATTTAAACACACCTCAGTAACATTAAGCTGTTGAATTCATGAAGTCATCTCCCAAGGCCTATGTCTGCCAATTCCATAAACATGGTCTCATTTTTAAGTCGTGTTGAAACCAAACAAGCATTTACAGAAGTGCTGTACTAGTTCCTGAGTTCCTGTCACTGCTCAAAACAACAGGGTTGATGTATGTTTCATGGCTCATATCAACACGCTTGCTGTAAATAGTCCTGGGATGCCATGTGCATTCCCAGGCCATTGATTCAGGCCTGCAGAGTCAGTCACTAGGCCAGCGCACAGCTGCAGACACACTGCCCTATAAAACAGTTATGTCTGTGTGAGGACAGATCAAGTGTCTGAGCCCTGGGTGTGACTTCTCCCTGAACAGTTAGGAACATGGTCCACAGTGGCCGCATCAGGTGCTATCCTTGGCAAGAACCAGATCCCTTTGTCAAGGATTCCATTCTTCTAAGCCATTCTGAGAAACTTCCATATCAAGTAGAGATTGTGCCCATCATACTGACTGTTGCCAGCTGCATAACCATAGGTACTGTCGACAAGCTAAAGGATATCTGGCACAAAACTGGAGCATATTCCATCTAGCTTTGTTGATTGAGAAATAAAATTACCATAAATATTTAATCATAATCACTCTTCCCATAAGATCACAAGCTTCAGTATCTTCTACATAACACACAAATCAAAGTCTGTCCGAAAAATGATGCTGACTCAAGGCCATGACCTTAGCTTCCCTAAACTGTTTTTGTTTTGATAGACCATTGCATCTGTTTCCACCCAAAACTTTGCTTAGGATCACTGCACTCAAAACACTTCAAGGACAACAAGAAAGTCCTCCTACACTGCCACTGTACCTACAAGACCTGTCAGAAAATAGTTGGTACTGAATTGAGTACACTCTAGTTCTGTCTGTGGTGACCTGACATGCACAGCTGTGCGACTGCTGCAATTCTTACCTTCAGCCCCCGTCACTGCCATCTCGGCTTCGGCTGTTCTTAGCGGCCGCACTTCAAATGTGTTACTGGGTTTATGTTTGTGTGTGCATGTGTCTGTTGTGGGCCATGTCCAGTCTCACTCTGAGAAACTGCTGTTGTCTGACTACCGTTTTGTTTTCTTGAGTCTCTCTCTCTCTCTCTTTATTTTAAGAGGTTGAAAGCCTCATGTCCACAGAGCTACTAATCCTTTGAATGTCACCGCCGCCTGTCAACAAAAAGTGACCCTGAATCCTACCGAGAACCGCTTACAAACAGGACCTTGGTCAATCCTCCCATCCCATCTCATGCGTACATACAAACACTGGTTTCCCAACTCTTTGGGATTTACTCCCTCACTAACCCCTAAAATCCAGCCCATAAATACCCGAGCTGATCTCCAAAACCCAACTGTTCATGTGAACGGAATCTGTGGCCAAAAGAGCATCTCCTTTGACAGCTTCAGCTATCCCTCACCCCCCAAAACAGCCTCTAATCCCAGTTCTGACCTTGCTTTTGACGCGTATCATTTCAGCTCCAGATAAACAGTCCTGCTGGCCATTATCATGGGTCTGCATGGGGCATCATGTCACTAAAAGTCCAGAGGTAATCACCCCTGAAACTGATACTTCTTAGTTGCTTCAGAGCTTAAACTGGGTGTTGACAGAAAGGGTGCTGTTCATGTTGTCCCAGAGCATGGGAGCATGCCCAGCATCTATTTGTATCACATCCATTTGAAACCATAGAATAAACAAACCATCTCACCCTTTGTCTTTTTAGACACAGTGATTGTTTGAAGCACGCAGCATGATCCACTTATGCACAAACACACATACTGAGATATGGAAAACAGACTGTAAAAACTTGGTGTGAGGGGACAAAAGGGAAGTAGGTTTACCTGATCTGACTGTTGTCCTTTATGTTCCTGTTACAGCTGCTTTTATCTCATACCTTATCCAACTGGAGCTCCAACAGCAAAACCTACCCAACTCTCTCTGTCAGACCAAGTGCGCCTTTCAGCCTTTCAGCCTGATCGATCAGAGGGAGTTCAGGATCATGTGACTAAGGGATTTGAGGGTCTGTGTGGTGCAAAGGTTTATGAAAGATTAATGTAGTACAGGCAGGTCTTAATGGCTTCAGCTCAGAGTTGATGAGTATAGAAGCTAAACCGAAGCTACTGAGCCATGATCTGTAATATAAGCTGTGCAAGTTTTTTTGAATAGGTCTTAATGGCTTCAGCTCAGAGTTGATGAGTATAGAAGCTAACCCGAAGCTACTGAGCCATGATCTGTAATATAAGCTGTGCAAGTTTCTTTGAATGCCTTTCTACATTGAGGCTGTAAATGCTTGTGTAAATAATGAATGACTGCCACTCTGTTTTCTTGCACCTGTGGGTCTATTTGATGGCTCAGAGGTGCTTTGCTATCAAGAGGCTCGGTGTACAATATAACTGCAAACAATGTATTAGGTTATAGTTCAGTAGTATAGTCAATGAAACTTAATTGATTTAAACATTAAATAAAAAAGACACCATAACCATCAATAATAGCACTTCATATTAAAAATAAAATCTTTATTTTTGCTACTTTTCCACAGGTGTATTTCTTCTCCATATTTTGTGCTACTCTTGTTTTACTCTTGAAATTCTGCTGATAGTGTTCCCTCTCATTTGAGAAATTGCTTGTGTTATCCTCATTTTTAAGTCTTGTTAGCTAACAGGATATGCAAATGTAAATATGTACATGTATGTAATTGTATATAAAATAGATGTAATATATGTATATTTACTGACATGTCTTACTGCTTGATTGAGCTTGTAAGATCACTGTGAGAACATTGTGCGATTCAAGCTTCTGTGCAAATCACACATTTCCTTAGGACAGGGGTTTTCAAACTTTTTTGTCAGCCGAACCCCTTTGACCTAAATTACTTGAAGTACCCCCTGAGATTTTAAGTAAATATTTCAATTATTTAATGGCACATTTGCATGTTTAACTATAAAAACATTTCTTTTTTTATCAGTTTTAAAGTTTTAGTAGTATTTACATAGCTATTGTTATTATTACACTCAACAAATTATACAAATTCATATTACTGTAATTTACAATGTAATTATTACATTTTTTTTCCACAATAATTTTTTTATACAGGGTTTCCCAAAAATAGAATTATTTTTATACATTTAAGATTTTACATTTACATCACATTTGTATAAACCTGTAACATTTCTTTGCAAAAACGTTTTAATTATTATTATTTTTTAATTCATTCGTTAATGGTATTAACTCGTGGGAAACCCTGCCTTAGGAAATGAGCATGAGAGGATAAGTTTAAGGATAGGCTATGACAGAGATACAGATAGGAATTGCAGGACCCATGTTTATACCCCTCTTTCTATTAAAATTGTCAGCTTTTCTCAAATAAAACAAATTGTATTTAATTGTCATTTACTGTATCATACCTACATCTTCTGCTTTTACTAGAAATGGTATTTGTATTGCAGCACTTCTCATGTTACTGTCTCCTTAGGATGGATTGTTTTGTGCCCTAGCATTCATTTGGATAAAGCCATTTGCTAAATTAGCAAATATACATGTTTCTGCAATGTCTCCTTTTAGGGCCCAGGATAACATGTGCCCAGGATAACATTCCTGGTTGCCCCCTTCTGGTTAGAATCAGAATCCATTCCTGCAGTAAACAATTCAATGATGGAATAAATAAGTGCTGCAATAAAAAAAATCAATTTTAAAATGACTGTTATTAAAAATACTAATTTTAGACCGTTTCTTGCTGCAGGATAGGGAGAGACAGATCATAAGCGCTCACCCTTTCCCAAACATGGGCTGGAAAGCTGCTTTAGTATGGGCGTCTGGAGTCTTCGCATCATTTCCTGTGTGCTCAGGCCTGGAGAGTGAGAAGACAGAGCAGTATGTGCAGTAGCAGGATAAGACTAGAAATGAATCGGTGGGTTTCTTACATTAGCATTATTGCAACAGATTTGATGTCATGTTGAATAAGTGGCATCTATTTGTAACTGTTCATTATAATTGCTGGTAAAGGGTAACATTAAACAGACACAAAACTACTAAATGTATCATGATAAAAAAAAAAAACTATTAAAGGGGTCATATGATGTTGCTAAAAGTCTTTGAAAATCGCATATTAATGTGTTTATGTGCTACATTAAGAGAAAGAAAAGTCAGGTAATTTATTCATAATGTTCTAAATGTTAGTAATCTTATTGAAGCACTTACCCAGCCTTAGATCTTACAGAACTCTGTGTCCTCTCTGCAGCTGCACTGCAATTATAAACCCATGAAGTTCTCCCCAGGAAAGAAATGAAAGAAAAAACCCACTCAATTCTGCCCCCCCCAGTGATGTATGAGATATGGCACGTGGAATTCACTTAGCAAAGAAGGTTTAGGAGGTTTTAAAAATAATTTTTTTCTTCCTCTGTCATTATTTATTATCGCCCCCTTGTGGAGATGTGCATGTGTCCTTGAACAAGAAGGTACTGTGGCCACAAAAAGTATTTGGAAAAACAAAAATGTATGGATGTCGTTATATTGAATAACATAATATCAAACTAAGGTATTTAAACAACACATAAAAAAAAAAAAAAATGAAAACAAGAAATATTTTTTTTTTTTGGTAGGACTGGCAAAATGCTGGCATTAGCATTTGTAGGAGGTAGGTGGCCATTTCAATCATATGGATTTAATTTAATACAAGGTACACCAAAACTGACTTGAAACAGTTTTGGTCACTTAAATCAGTCAAAAAAAACACAAATCTAATCTGAATATATAGGCGTATATATTCAAAGTATAAATGAGTCGTTGTATTGATTGCTGGTCCATATTCACTGACAGGAGTGAAGATTTATGAGGTGTGAATGAGTGAGGCAGATGGCATCAGTCCCAGAACACATTTGGAAATTCTTGGCAAAAGAATGATAACTCCAATAATTGTTACCACATGATGGAGCCATAGCATTAAAATACAATCAAAGGAGGGCTCTTGACTGAATGAATACATTTTTAGCTGCAAGGTGCAAATTTTGGTTGAGAGCGTCTGACCACTGTGGAAAAAAAGCTTAATTCCTTATTCAAATGCACATCAAAAAATAAGTATATTATATGCTTTGGTTGGGGTTTCAAATATTTCAAATTTCTCCACCAAAATTAGTTTACAAGTTAGTCAAAGTGCCTATTTTTACCTGGTAGTAAACAGACTCTGGCAAGCAGAAATTGTGTTTGTCTGGTGAGGTAGCCGTAACAGTGCACTTTTCGTTCAGATAATCCGATGGAACATTGAGAAAACATAAAAACTGTCATGCTGTCTGTAAGTTTCTGTTGTGGATATTGCCTCTTGTTTATTTAAACGTTCTGGAATTTTCAGAGTGTGTCAGACTTTCCAACCTTATTGAGTACTCTAAATAATTAAGCTTATTTGCCACTTAAACATAAAGAACAAAGCAGCTTTGGAGGAAATATTTTACTAATGGAAGGCTACAGCAGAAACATCTACCTTTTCATCCTGTATTCAATGGACAATTCTTAAAGGAAGATTTTTTTGTGCGTTTTTCTGACACTTGTATGTGTTCATTTGTGATTAGCTTCATGTGGTGTTTTTATATTAAGTTTATATGAGTGCAGCAGTAAAAAGTGCATTTCGGAAGTTCCATCTCATTAAGACAGGAATGAAAATGATGTGTTTAAGTGGAATGTCCTATGGAGCACCTCTCACCTCTGCTCGACATCCCGCAAACCCACCCCCTGCAGAGGTCCCATTAAACACAGTCCTGACCCATTCCCCCTTCAAATACAGATAACCCACTTTGTATGAAGTGAGTAGGTATGGAAAACAGAAAAAAGGAATGCACTTGGCACCCCATTTGCTAGGCACCCCAGGGTCTTTAACATGTAATAACCCAGACCAGGTGCTGATCATCTGTCTGTCCACTCAGCAATCCGGACGAGGAACTATGGCGAGACACTTTCCTTTTACTACCTTCACTTCCTGTGGAACAAACAGACGAGGTCCAGAAGACATCAGCTTTAATTGAATGCAGGTTTTATTGAATGACAACGTTAAACCATTTCACACACAAACACACAAATAAAATAGATCCCATTTACAAATATATCATTGCATAAAAAGTTATCCTATACCACAGCTTGAGACATCCTTGACATAAATGAATAATAGATATAACGCTACCTTCAATGCCCTTACTTTTTCCCTGTACAAAAATAGCTCTATCTCTGTAAGTAGTATAAAGTAATATAAAACAATTAAATAGTAATATCTTTGACCATTTTTTTTTTCAAATATACATATACTTGCAATAAAAATGAAATAGATTGCACATATCTCTATACAAATAATAACAACAACAATGTTCAAGTAAGTTAGAATACAATCCTTGTGGACTGGCACTGACAGTTCATATAATCAAAAGCATTCATCCTGCTTACAGTGTCCAAAAATGTGATTCCAAATTAGAAACACCTTCATTGGCATTTTAAAAGTCTCTGTGTATTCCTTTCCAGATTCATGAATCTTTCCCCATTGACTCGAATTGAAGTCCAAAGACTTTCTGACACAGTCACTGGACAGGATCAGCTAAACTAGGGGCCGTAATCGGGCAGTCCATTTGTCCCAGGAGAGGTGGTTCTGCTTTTCCCTGAGGCCAGTCCACTTCAGTGCAACAATATCTTGCTCATATCCAAGGCACACTTATTCAGTTTCTCCATCTGCATCCCCACTTGTTTTCAACAGCTGCTGTTGTTTCTGCGCTTCTATTTGCTGATTTCTCTTCCGAGGACAGCCTTCAGAAGGCAAGATTGCTCTTCCAGCCCCTGTGCTTGGAAAAGAATGCGCTGGAGAACTCTTGGCAGGAGTCTGAGGCATTTCTAGAATTTCATAGTTGGCCGGCGAGCCTCTGTCGCCGCGTCCTCGAGCGCTCCCACCCCGTGCGCTCACGTCCGCCTGAGCAGCGCTTCCAGCTTGTGCAGCCGTGATTGAGAGTTTGAGCTGCTCCACACCGTCCGCAGCCTGCTGCCCTCCTGTCGCAGTGTCATTACTTTCTCTGGAACGGACCTTCGCCGCCGGCCGTACCCGAAGGGATTGATCTTGTCAGCGGGTGCATTCCCGATCTTCAGCTTGTTGTTGAGGTCATGGAGTCGGTGTGCCAGCACATGCACCGTGCAGGTGCCAAGCGAGCAGCCCGCTCTCCTGGACTGGTTGATGGAGTTCTTGGAGCGTTTTGTCCTTATGCTGATGCCAGTGCTGGAAAGGCAGACAAGGGAAGAGGACATTAATGCCTGCCCGGAGTTCCTGAGCAATTGCTTTTGGCTTACAGCCTTAGTTTAACGTTCCTGGGCTGACAAGTTTGTACTTCATCATGTGAAACCACACTTAACTTAGAGAAAACAATGACATAATTTACAGCTGGTAATGCTTGCTAATTCTTACCTGGAATGTGGCCTTAAGTTGTCTTTGACATCGTCCGGTCTGACAAACTGGCTGTTGTCTAAAGTCCTCAGTGCAGCAAGGCTCAAATCCCTTTTTGATCTCTGCAGCCGGACACTAAGTATCAAGAAGAGAAAAGAGAGTGTTACTTAGAAACTTTCCAACCAATTCCAAACATGACTAAAAGCCTGAAATCAAATCAACACATCAGCTTACCTTCTTTTCAGGTCATGTTTTGCACTGTCCACACCGGGTGCAACGGTGGCCAGCAGGCAGCAGCAGAAAATTGACTGCAGTATCAGTTGCATCGTGACTGAAATCTTGAAGGAAAAAGCAAATTAACCATCTGTTAGATATCCGCTTCACCTGCATGCAACTCCCCTACTCTGTGCCAACTATGCTTTGCTCACACTTGCACAAGAGTCCAAAATCCACGCTATTTACATTCATCATGCATTTATTTACAATGTCAAGCTGAGGTCGCACTTTCTTTGAATAAGTAAACTTGCAACTATGCTTCAGGTCCCTGATAAGCAGTAAAAGGGACAATGATGTATAAAACAGTGGTTTTTTTAAAAACAGGGTGCCCTTAACTCCATCAGTACCTAATTTAAAAAGTCACTCAAATTCCTTTCAAATCAGATTAAGTTTTTGCCTAACAGGCAAGTTCCCTGGCTTATAGATGCAAAACTAGGGCTCAGTTTCTTATATAACTACAGATAACCTGTGCATATGAGCCTTGACCCTAAAAGAAAAGACACTGAGCAGCTAACAGATACACATAAGCTTCCTTTAAAAATGCATACCTGTGTTGAAGTACTCTTGGGTTGGCTTCAGAAGTCTGTGTAGAAAGTAATCCAGAGGTGTTTCACTTGCTCTTGGTGCTGTGGCAGCGGTGATACTCTGCTAATAGTCTGACTCTCCACAGCAGGCGTAAGTGCATTTATACTGCAGGGAAATGGGAGGGGCAAGTAACACGCTCTCTCATCCCAGCTCTTCATTTCTGTAGTTCAGGGTGGTCACCTCAATTAGAGCATGAAAGAGAATAAGAAAACGAAACTGGGGATATTGATGGGTTATTGCTGAAATAACTTAATGGATTGTTATCAGAGTTTCTGGGAATAATAAGCAACCGCCAATCTGGGGAATTCTTTGAAAAATCCCAACGTTACAATAAATTAGTTTCTTCTATTACATTGCTCATGATTTTTTAATCTGGATGTTGGCTGGGGGTACAACTGTTATCTGTGTGTCAGACAAAGACAAAAAGACAAATCTTTAACTTCTTTGACATGACTTCTTTGACAATATTCTGCGTAAACAATAATGGCCAATGCAATTCATTTGGATTTACACAAAAGTATATAATATAATATATAATTTGTAAAAGTCCAAAAAGATCAAATAAAACTAGTATGATAGATTTTTTATCGAAATTGAAAGAAAAATATAATGATTGTAACAGTATTAGAAAGGGCTATTAATCTTACATTGATTAAACTAATATTGATAGTGTTTATTTTCTAATTGACAGTTGATCTATGACTACTAAAGTACCTTTGAGTTACACCTGTCAGATTTTCTATGTAAGAGGTAAGACTCTATTTCTGGATATGTAAACACAGATAACGGTACATTTTAATTTTTGGGAGAATGCCTACTGACCTTCACCTAGTTTGTAAATGTTTTCCCCCTCACTTTAGACTAAATCAAATTAAATTCTCCTGATACAATAATTACTCAAATTAATTTGTATAATTTTTCATAGAACAGCCAACATGTATTTCACAAAAATGTAATTACCTCATGTTAATTACTGTGCAACCCTGGTTTATCCTTATATGGGAAGTGAAAGATTGCACAACATTCACTCACGGACACCATCCAGTTGTTTGCCTCTCAGCCCATATATGGTAAATAATGTTTGCTAAATCAATATGTCATAGCCATCACAAGGGTTGTTGATATTTGATGAAGTATGATGAGGGAACCCACAGATGCAGGTGGGAAATAGGTTTACCTGTGTGTTATATGCTCAGGAATGCTACAGTTAACAATGAGTCACTGAACACCCTGATGTCATGATGAGTTTTCATCTCTATATTGGCAACTTCATACACTGTAAAACAAAATCCGTAAAATTTACGGTAAAAAACTGTAACACACAACCCTAATATACAAAACTGATAAGAAAAAATTAAGTTATTTCCACAGAAAAACATCAAATTTGAAATGTAACGCAGGGAATTCTGGGAATGTCAATTTACAGTTATTCACTGTAAATTATACAGTCTTTTTTCACTTCCAAAAACGGTATACTACCGTAATATTACATGTAATGTATCCACCGTATATAATTTACCGTTAATCATTTAACAGGTTTTTACTGTAGCATTTTTACAGTCTTTTACCATTAAATTCACGGTCATTTTTTACAGTGTACTGTTGTTGGTTTGGAGTGATCATGTGTAAACAGACGGAAAAATAGTCAGAAATTTGAAAACAGACATTCCTTGAGAATCTCATTTATTTCACTAACAAATATTACCATTAAATTACCAAGGTGTTTTTGGTGGTACCTTGTTAAATACAATATTACATGCATATGGTAATCATTCAGTAACACTGTATCAAAGTATCATTCATATAACAAAGTATCATCACGTGTATATGTATATCTAGCAGAGTCCTGCATTTGTAAAGGTTATGCAGCATTATTTTGTTGTACAGATAAGCTAAAGACCTATATTAGAGTAGTTTATTCTGATTATCATTATTATTTAATTATAAATGTATCTAACTTGCAACTTTGTATCTTTTACCAAGATGAATTGGCTTTTAGGCACTTCATTTGGGAAAAAATATTATTAACGAGAATTAAGAATATAAATCTATTTTATGTTTATTTTAGTTTTTCAGTGACGAATGGATGGTCAATTACAAAAACGCATACACTGAATTAAAATTTCATTAAATTATTTGCGAGGGTCTGTTGTAACAAATATTTAGTGTTTAAAACTTTTCTAGTGGATTATGGACTTTTTTTCCCCGTTATGAGCTAATATGAACAGTGCCATATTCAACAATTAGTCTACATATTTCCTGATATACACTTTCCTGTTCTATTCTGCATAAATGATAATTGGTATTAATTGTTTATTAACTGGATGATGTATGGTCATTAGCTGGTCCAAAGGATCTAGATTAGCTGGAATACATCTCTCCCACCTGAGAAAAAAAATGTAGTGACCAGCTGTTTATTATTACCACATATTGTATGAAATATTATTTTGAAACTTTTATTTACATTTGAAACACTGTAGCGTCACAAATTCTAATTCTGAAGGCATGACGCTTATCTGTGCACCATCACGAATCTATTAACTCATCATACTTTTGCATAGTCCACAGTAAGACTAACTAACTACATAAATAAACTAATTCATTTTGCATTATTATAACATTACATGGCATTATTCACGTCAAGGAAAATCCTTTCACTGTGAGTGTAGTATGTATTATCGCTGGTGTCAGTGAATGCAGGACCCACGCCCATGAACGGACAACCGCCAGTCCACGCAGGCGCACTGGCTCCCTCTGTGTCAAACATGGCTGTGCTTTTGAAGAAAGAAAAATGCTGAATTGTGTTGCAGAATTTCGCCAAAAGAGGAAACCATGGCTAGACTGGCTGATTATTTCATAGTGGTGGGATACGACCAGGATAAAGCTGGTAAGCTGCTGTGTTTATGAGTGGAGGAGGGTTGTGATTTATTTAGGCCGTTAGCAACAACTAACTTCAATACTGCTGCGCTTCAAGAGATTAATAGATGGATTTCACTTTCTTTGACGTGTTATTATCGGTATGAAGAGGAAGTATGTGTCGGTTTTAGCAGGGAACAACTCTGGTTGTTGCTGTTTGTGTTTATGAATTAAGTAGCTAATACGTGTTTGTCTAAATGGGAGGTTTAAAAGAAAGCTGGCTAGGATGGTGTGGTCCTTTTGCTATTGTTTAATATGCATGTACAACACCGCTCAAGCGAATGTTTTCATAATAACATGCCTTATAATGTGTTTTTGTTTGATATATGAGTGTTTTATTCACTGAGTAAATCTTAGCACACACCTACTGTATTTGTCGCGTGTACATGTAAACAGCGCGGTGACTCATGCGGTTGCTTGTTACAATTTGTTTCCAAGCCACACGCATTGATCTCTAAATGGCGATTTAAGCGCACTACGTTGCACTGATTTCCACATTTAGCCGCGAGGTTTTGGTCAGTAGAGAGCGATCCGGTGCTCTCTGTATGTGTGTGCGCTTTCATAAGGATCTGCCGGAGAGCTCTTCCTGTGTTGTGGAAAGCGGATCCAGAGGAAACAGGACTTTACGTGTCTTGAGCTGTGCGTAATCGTGTGGAGTCTACAGGTGCTCCACGCTGCTCTCATTTACAGCACATGATCGTGTTTACATACGCAAATGCCGAAGGAAGCAGCAGGTCATCTGAAAAGCGCACGTCTGCACACAAAACGATGCTGTAAAGTGATGTTCCGTATCCCTTATTACACTCATTTAACTCTTTACCTGTCGGAAGAAAATTAATTTCTTCAAAATCTTGCAGTGAGAGAAATCAATTCTTGCACGTCTTTCCATTCAACAAAGAAGTGCCAAAGTGTTGAAAAACAAATCTAAATAACTTTTTTTAAATTTAACCCTATAAAGCCTACTGTATGCTATTTGATACATCAATTTCGATGGCATCTAAACTGTCAACATGATCAAAACTTTACTGAAAAACTGGTTTTACTTATTCCACTACATGCTTTCTGCACTCTAATTGGTTCATACCTTTTAGCAAGTAAAAATAACTTGATTCTAAAAACGTCCGCCTTCAGGTCATGATACACTTGTCTTTTTGCTGTGAGATATCTCATGATTTTTATAAAGTAAACTAACTTTTATATTGTAAGTATGTCATGATGAACATGTAGCCTACGTAACTGAAGTGATTATGAAGTTTTAAAATGGTCCACTAGGCTTTTGAGTAACAATTGTTTGTCCATCTCTCTTTTCATTGAATGATATATTTTGCCCTCCACATTCGAAACCACAAAGCTTTGATCATAAACAATTTAAATATCTTACTAATGCTTACTAATGCTATGCAATTTGTGTAAGTTGTTAAAGAGATCTAATTGATTTACAGTACAACCTATCAGAATTTTGCCTTACTTTATGGACATATAAATAACAAAAGTCATGCACCAAACTCTATATTTTTCTCAAGTTTGTGCCTATGAATAAAAGAGATCTTTTGTTTTCCCCTCATTGAGAGTGAATTCCATATTCTGAGACAGAATGATCTTACATTTATCTCACATTATGGTGCACATTGTTTTTTCCCTTGCCTTTATGCTATTGTTGCTTGTCTGATTGTACGGTGTTGAATAAAAACAGAGGCAGACTTTGCAACATCAACGTTCTTTTGTGTCAGACCGTAGTACACTGTAGCTGAGACTGTGGTCATGATTGACTGCGTTTGTTTTTGGAGTTAAGTGGCTGTGCAAAATAAGTCATGGACTGCTCATACTGTGTTTCAGCAGGAGCAAACACTAATGAGGTATTTATTCTGTGTATTAGGGCTGCACGATAAATCGAAATGGAATCGAGATCGCGATTTGACAGAAGCTGCGATTGTCACGCATATCTTTCAGTGAAGCACGGTTCTGTGATCAGCAGTAAATCTCCATCCAAAGGCCAGAGGGCGCGTAAATTCTGCTCCATCTGAAAGCACGTGATGATGATTTCCTGCTGATTACAGAACCGGCATTACTATCAAAATGCGCATGACAATCACATTCGATTAATCGTGCAGCCCTACTGTGTATACATAGACATGTTATTATCCATAATATTACTAGAACCCTTCTCTCTCAGAGACTCAGAAACACTACAATAATTTGAAATCGAAAGCTGTCATATTGCTGATGCTTTCCATCCAGAGTGACAAAAGGTTAATTGTTGGGTCAGTCTCCTTTAAGAAGTTGCTCTCATGGTTTGTTTAAAGCCACAGAGGAACAATGAATAGTTTTATTCTCACTCTTAGAGGTTTTTACACTCTGAGAGTTGTTCACACTCATTTTAGATTATATATGATCCAAACAGACTGTGAACTGGACCCTTTTAAAATGACTTAAGTGTTCAGCACAAATGAAAGTGAAAAGTGAAGTGAAAGTGAAAGTGACATGTGGCCAAGTATGGTGACCCATACTCGGAATTAGTGCTCTGCATTTATCCCATCCAAAGTGCACACACACAGCAGTGAACACACACACACCGTGAACACACACCCGGAGCAGTGGGCAGCCATTTTTTGCTGCGGCGCCCGGGGAGCAGTTGGGGGTTCGGTGCCTTGCTCAAGGGCACCTCAGTCGTGGTATTGAAGGTGGGAGAGAGCGTTGTACATTCACTCCCCCCACCTACAATCCCTGCCGGTACGAGACTCGAACCCGCAACCTTTGGGTTACGAGTCTCTAACCATTAGGCCACGACTTCCCCTCAAATGAAGGCTTGAGGATCCATGCTGGAGCACCTTGCAAACCTGCATGCTAGCTATGATGATAAATTACAACAGATATGTAGTTTGATGTATAGCTGACTTTCAAGGCCAGAGAAAACTAGTTATGCACCAAGATTCTGGCAGCCGAAAATATTTTGTAGAAACAGTTTTGGACAGCCAAAATCATTGATTGAAACTCTGACGTTTAGGCTAGTTAGCGCTTCTACGATGGCATGTTTTGACTGTGTCAGTGTTCGTTTTATGGTTAGATATTTTTCAAAAATATATATTTATATCACCTAAATGTTTGATCATGCCATGCATTTTTGTTTTGGCAATTGTTGCACAATAGCTTACACACAGCACAAGCCAGATTTTGTGAGCTGTATGTGAGGCGGCCTTTTACACCAGGTTCACACATACTCCGTTTTCAGTGCGTATGCAGTCCATGTGCGGTACGTGAGTGGTGCAGAAGCAGCACTGACTGTGCTTTCACACAGGAGTCCATTACTGATCAGTGGCTGTTTACTACAAACACAACATTTATCCATTATTTTGATTTCAAATCCAAACATTGTTACTTAAAATGCTTTTTCAGCATTGTGATTCTTTTTTTTTACACAGTACAGTAATACAATCTTTCATAGATGTGTTTAAACGCAATAAATATAAGAAACGCATTATTCAATGCTTTTTACTTTTGCATTTACTTCTAGATTTATATATTAATTTGCTCACATTTAAACTACTTTTCTTACATTATCACAAACATTTTAAATTAAAACTTACCATTGACAGAAACAGTCAGCTCTACTGCCTTTTCTTTTGCATTGAAAAATAAATCTTTATGCAAATCTTTATTACAAGCAATCCTGTGGTTCATTAAGAACTTTGCCGGACTGCAACCATGTGCAGTGTGAACGCTTTAATCCCTTAACATGAGCGCAGGAAAAATACGCAACCACGTACGTGCACTGCAAACGGAGTAATGTGAACCTGGCGTTATGTGTGTGCGCTGCGAGTGTGCATGAATGCACGGTCTCCAGGAGAACGCGCGATCGCTGAATGGTTAAACACTGGCAAGAATTAAAAAGAAATGCAATTTATAAAGTTTAGTGACGATGCGACACTGCCTCGGTTGTGCAAGTGACAATTCCTGTGTCAACTGTGCAGCGTGCAGCTCGCTTGTGCAGACGCGATTTGATTTGAAGCCATTTGCGCTTTTTGAGAAAGAAAGAGAGATTCACTCAAGCTGTTTGTGAAATTATGTCTCACATGGGGCTGGACGATATGGCCAAAATTTACGATATATTTCTTAATTTCGGTCGATATGATATAATTCCGATATCGATATGAACACTATTAAAGAAGCCTCATAAAAATGGCCAAAAGTTATTTAATGAAGAAATATGAATTGTACCTCACCTTCAACATTATAATTATTTATTTTTAGAGATAGCCGATCAAACATCCCAAAGCGATTATCGGCCGATAGTGATCGGTAGTCGATCAATCGGAGCACCCCTATGTATCACTAATGGAAACATACTTATTAGTCCACTTAAATCTAAGGTTTTTTTTTTTTTAAAGACCTGACTCAAGTATGAAAACACCCATAAATTCTTTAATTGTGTGCTGAACTCCAGCCTGTGTCTTCTCTAAATAGACAACCGTTTATGTTTTGAAGGAGTATTGGTGATGTTGCAGTGTCTTTCTCAGCAGTGATAAGCGTCCATAGAGTTCAAATGAGAGGCCTTTCTTTCAGTAGCTCAAAGACACTGACTAGCCTCTACTGAGGGCATCAGATAAGCTGGCTTTCCTCCAGGCTTCAGTCTTTAAGGGCTGCTCTAGCTGAATCGTCTCTGTCACTTGTGGCATATGAATAGGTGAGCAGTGTTCCCTGTTTTGGCTCATACAGATATTCAGTGCATAAATGGCTGTGTTGTGCTGGGGAACTCAGTGTTCCTGACGTCTGTAGGGGATTGCGTGAATTCACGAATCATCTTCACTGGAACAGCTGGAATTTTTATCCCCTTTAGATAAAGATAATAAATGAGAAGGCATTGCACATTCCTAATTTAGAAGAACTGCTCAGAGATGCCTTCCTCATGTTATTGAAGTGAATGATGATATCAGCTGTCGCAAATCATTTGTATGTTTTTCTGACACTAAAATA